ATAAGCAAAACATAATTTAAATTCAATAAAGCATTGGGTTGTCTTTTTTGAAAGACATAATTTACAAATATGAATTTAAATATTGTTTAGAGAAAAGCACAATCAGATATTAATGTTTAATTCTATGACTTACTTTAAAAGTTTTGTATTTTTCACTAGAACAGAATGTGATTAGGACTTAGGTAAGAAAACAAAATTGTAACATTTACAGCATAAACAAGCTTCTCTAGGGTAACTTTTTTTTTCCATGATGGGAGAATCACTATTTCTCAAGAAAAATGCCACTAGCCTAATCTGTATTCTGAATGCCAGCTAGTAAAAAGGAAAGGTATAACCAGGAAGAATGTGAACACAGTTCATCAAACTAAAACTCAGTGGTTAAAAAAAAGGTTGCAGAGGATGACTAAAAAGGCTTTATATGGTTTTGTACCTCACATGTGTTAATGATGCAGATATGAAAACTGTGGGTTTCCTCTTTGGACATTTGAGCATTTGTGATATGATAGGCTTAAAATAAGAACCTAAGCCTCTTCTAGTTCTAAACTTCTAAGTACATTCAATACATAGTACTGAGTACATTGATATATTGCCAAAGGATGACTTTTTGATAAAAGCAGAAAGTGAGCGAAATGCACAGAGTACCTGTCATGGCACTGACAATGAGTCTGTTCTCTTTAAGGTTAGTCTCTAAATTAACATCTGGTAAATCTGACGAGTTTGCTGACAGTGAACTAAGGAGACCACCTCTGACAGTCCTTCTACAAGCTGCGGTTGCACAAGTTGTACAGTTGCTCCCTTCTCACTATCCTTCCATTACGTTGGCTAACAGATGTTAATAAATTCAATACATATACACATCTCGTCTTTCTCCACCTCTTGGCATAATTTAACAGAGCTGATCCTATTTCAAAAATGTGTTCATGGGGTTTTCTTCTCATTTCTCAGGCCACTCCTCCTTTTATTTGGTCATTAAATGTTGGAATTACACAAGGTTAGATCCTAGACCTTCTTTTGAACTCAATGCATTAGCCACTAGTCCATGGGGCTATTTAATAAGCTTAAATTATACAAAAAAATATTGAGTTTCCTGGTTCCTAGGCATTTCAAGTGCTCAATAGCCACAGGCAGCTCATGGCTGTTATATTGGGCAGCACCAATACAAGACATTTCCATCACAGCAGAAAGTCCTATTGTACAGCGCTGTGCTATAACCCTGAGCGATCTTATTCACGTTCATGTCAGTTTCCATCTTTTTGCAGAAGACTCCCACATCTGTAGTCTCTCATACAAATGTCTCCTCTGAGCACAAGACCCATGTAGACAAATACTTTGACTTTTCCACTCCCACTTAGATGTCTCAAAAGTACTTCAAGTCCATGATGCCAAAGACCAAATTTTGCATATTTGTCTCCAAACGTAGTTTTGGAATTTTTTTTTTTCCCTCACTAGTGCTGCTATCATCTAACCCCAGGTGAACAAGTTAGGAAACTCAAGTTATCCTTTATTCTCCCTCATTCCTTTAACTCATTTCCAAATCCTCTGATTACCTCTTAAGTATCTCTCAAATTTTTCCCCTTCTTCATCTCCCTTGCATCCCCATAAGCCAAACTTCTATAGCTTGATTAGTGGGAAAATCTCCCTGGATTCAAATCTTAATTTTGGCTGAGTGACCTCAACTAAATTCCTTAAACTTTTTCCTTAACCAAGGTTTTTATTTGTAACTTGGGGGTAATAGTATTCTTCAATAGTGTTGTTGTAAGAATTAAATAAGATTATGCATGTAGTTGAACACAGTATCCAGGACATAAATTCCCTATAAATGTTATCACTATCATCTCATGCCTAGATTACTGAAACTGTCTTTCCATGCTTACTCTTGTTCCTCACCTATCTGCTGCCCACAATATAACTAGAGACTTTTAATAAATGTAAATCTTATCATATGCCGCTCTATCTCCCTGGAAACCCACTAATGGTTTTCTAGGGCTTTTAAATTAGAAGACTCATCTCTTATCACTCTTGCCCATTAACCCGTGTTCTTTAACCAAACTGGCTTCAAACTCCTAAATCTGATTATGTTCATTCCATCAGGGCTTTTGCCCACAGTATTTCCCTTTTCTGAAACTCCCCTGTAAATTATAGTTTAATCTTAGTCATCCTTCAGAACTCTGCTGAATAGTCACTTCCTCCCTCAGTGTGTCCTTCTGTTTTGCATTCTCATTATACCATGTTCTCTGCCCTAGAACTTATCAGTGTGCAATCACATACTTACGTAAGTGACTACTATTTATTCCTATACAAATATTTGTTTCTTCACAGACATCTCAGACTGACCTCCTGGTATTCCTCCCACCTGAGCCTGCTCCATTCACCAGCTCCTCCATCTCAGAAAATAGCAAAACCATTCTTACAGTTGCTCAGGCCAAAACCCTTGGTTTCTCTTTCACACTCCACATCCATCAGCAAATTCTACTGCTTCCCCCAAATTTGACCACTTTTCCCACATTTCCATTGCTACCCATTATGGTCAAAGCCAAATCATCACTTCCTGGGTTTTTGTGGTACCTCTTAACACATCTCCTTTGTTCCTTGACTCCTCACTTAACCCCTTGTATATTTACAAGGTAGCTAGATTGAGTCTTTAAATACATGTCAAATTATGTCATTCTCCTATTCAGGCCCTCCAGCAACTTGCCACCTGCTAGGGACTGAACTGTGTCTCCCCCAAATCCATCCATATGTTGAAGTTCTAACCCATGTGCCTATATTAGAGATTGTGCCTTTAGGGAGGTGATTAAAAATAAATTGGGTCATAAGGGGGGAGCCCTGATCTGCTAGAACTAGTACTACAAAAGAGACATCAGAGTTCTCTCTTTACAATGTGAAGACAATGAGAAAAGTTGCTGTCTGCAAGCCAGGAAGACAGCCTTTTCCAGAACCTGCCCAGGCTAGCACCTTGATCTTAGATTTTCCAGCCTCTAGAACTGTATGACTAAATTTCTGTAGTTGAAATTTTTATGGCACCCCAAGCTGACTAATATACCATCCCACTCAGAGTAAAAGCCAAAGTCCTTCCAGTAGCCAAAGAAGTCCTGCGCGTTCTGGTCTGTCATGTCCCCAACCCCTTACACTCTCTGAACTGACCACCTTTGGTATCAGTTAAACAGCTTAAGCCACATCGTCCTACATGCAATTCCACAAATATGTCAGACATGCTTCATCTTTGGACCTTTGCTTTTGTTCTGCTTGGAACACTTTTATCCCCCAAATCCACATCATTTACTTCCTCACATAAATGTCACTATCTCAGTGGGGCCATCCTATGGAAAATTCTGCCACCTGCTTCTCACACACGCTATCACATTCCTCTTTACTTAGCACTCACTACTAAGATGCCACATTCTTTTATCTATTTATTTATTTGCCATTTCCCTCACTAGACTATGAGTTACAAAAGAGAAGGGTTTGTCTGTCTTGCTCATCGCTATATTCCCAGAACACAGAGCACCTCATAGTAGGTGCATAACCATTTGTTCAGTTCAATGAATGTTGAGTTCCAACAGCCACAGAATTAGTTGTGCAAACTCTGTAACTTTTTGATGTCTCTAGGGTTCAGCAAACGGCAACGTTCATCCCCATCAATAAATACTTTAAATACATAAATAGAAATAAATAAATAACAAGTGATTGAAGAAGCCGTTCATTGTTAATCTGTTTTTAGGTAGGGCCGTGGGTGGAATTTAGGTTAAAAATGGATTCTGTTGCTTAAGAAGCAAAGAAATTACATTCCCTTACATTTTACAGAAAATAGGGCTGCTGAGGGATACCTTTCTGTTGTAATTAAAAGAGGAATTCTTCACGACCTAAACCATGCCGAAAACTTTCCAGTTAGTTTCAGTTAGCTGCTCTCACTGTTCACTTCTGAGAGCTTCCTATTTTTTGAAATGCCTTGTTCAACATCGCCTTGAAACACTAAGTTATCACAACTAAGCTCCTTTCTCACCTTGAAACATCACCGCTTTTAAAATAAAGGTGTAATCGAAGTGTGGACACACCCACTGCATCACGGCTGGCATTAGTTTCTGGTTATGCAAATGTAACGCGGCCAGACGGGTGAGCCTAGCGCCCCAACGGCGGCGCGGAGGAAATCCTGCCTCCCCTTAGGCTCAGGCCTGGAGTAAGTGCGGGAAGTCGCGGCGGACCGCTGCGACCTAGCCGTGGGGAGCACCCCGCCCGCACCTCCGGAAGCACCTGCGGGCCCGACGGGAAATCCCCGGGCATCGTCTCCACCCAACGGGGAAGGCCGGCGGCTCCGGCACTGCCTCGGGTACCACGCGCCTGAGGGGAAGCGGCTCCGTAGCCCTGCAGCATCTCGCGAGATTTCGCCCGCTCAGCCCAAGTACTGCGAGTTCGGAACCTTAAAAAAAAGGGCGAGCGGGCAAGAGCTGCCGAAGCCAACCCGTGGTGGCAGCTGCCGAGGCGGTATCAGCAATAGTCTCCAGTCCAGGCAGTGTCCGCGGGCCCCTTCGCCGGCGGGCTGAGCTCCATCCGCAGTCTGACCCGCGTAGGCCGGGCCGCGGCCCGCTGACGCGCAGCGACAGGGGCGGGCAGAGAGGGAGGCGGTCGGGGGGCCCTCTCCTCTCCGCCGCAGAGCGGGGCGGAGGAAGGAGGTGGAGGGTGGGAGGAGGACGACGGAAGGGGAGGCTGCGGCGCGGAGGTCTTCCCGGCGGCACGCAGCCGCGCCTGCTCCCGAGCCCGCCGCGGACCCGCCGCACGTGAACCTCGCGCGGGCCGCTCTCCCGTGCGGCCCCACCGGAGCGCAGCGGCGCAGGGGCACGGAGGCAGCGTCTGCCGCGCGCTACTGCGGACCGCGGGTGGGCGGGCGGAGGGGCGGGGAGCCGCGGGCCCCGCCTCCCGCGTGCTGCAGCGACAGCTTCCACCGCGGCGGCCCCGCCGAGGCTTTAAACAGCGGGCCCGCCCCGCGGCCGCCTCACTCGCGCGCTGAGTCGGCGGCGGTCGCTGTTCGCGCTGGTCCGGGCTAGCATCGGCGAGCGGGCCGCGGGGAGGGCGACTCCACTACTTGGCGTCGCGGCCGCGGGCGCGGAGGGCGCGCAGTTCGCAGCGTCCGCCAGGCTCTGCGGGTCCGCCCGCGGTCGGGCGGAGATGGAGCCGAGGCCCACGGCGCCCTCCTCCGGCGCCTCCAGGCTGGTGGGGGTCGGGGAGACGCCGCCAGCCGCCGGGATGGACCTGCCCGGCACGGCCGTGCCTTTGGTGCCGGAGGATGCTGCGGCCGCGAGCCGTGGCGGCGGCGGGGTCCGCGGTGAGGGCGCCGCAGCGGCCGGGGACGTGCTGGGAAGACCCCTGGGGCCCACCCCGAGCCAGAGCCGCTTCCAGGTGGACCTGGTTTCCGAGAACGCCGGGCGGGCTGCTGCTGCTGCTGCGGCGGCGGCGGCTGGTGCAGCGGCGGGGGTCAGGGAGACCCCCGCGGAAGGGAAAACCAGCGACGACAGCGGGCCGGCTAAGGGCAGCGAGGAAGCCAAGGGCCGCTTTCGCGTAAACTTCGTGGACCCGGCTGCCTCTTCGTCTGCAGAGGAGAACCTGTCGGATGCGGCGGGGGTCGGAGGCGACGGGCCCAACGTGAGTTTCCAGAACGGCGGAGACACAGTACTGAGCGAGGGCAGCAGCCTGCACTCAGGCGGCGGCGGCGGCAGCGGGCACCACCAGCATTACTATTATGACACCCACACCAACACTTACTACCTGCGCACCTTCGGCCACAACACCATGGACGCCGTGCCCAGGATCGATCACTACCGGCACACAGCTGCGCAGCTGGGCGAGAAGCTGCTCCGGCCCAGCCTGGCGGAGCTGCACGATGAGCTCGAAAAGGTGAGCTCTTCCGGCCCCTTCCCCGCAGCTCTCGCGCCAGCCCTCCCTCCTTCCCCAGCCACTGATCCGCGCTAACCGCGGGATGTGGTCGCTGGCTTTCCGCGGGTGAGGTTGCGGGAATGCTCGTACACGACTCGCTGACATCTGTGGGTTCAGCTGTCAAGCGTGGAATTGCAGAGGGACGTAACTTAATTTCTTAAAAAGTTTGCAGTGGGTTAGGATAGTTAATAGGTAATACAGGAGAGGCTTCATTGAACGGCCTTCCCCATCCAGTTCTATACCTCGTGTACGCTTGCTTTCTCACCCAACGCTTCACAGTTAGCCATCCCTCAGAATGACAGTTGTTTCTTGTGGGCCACGGAAGAAGACGTGCAGGATATGTAGGTGAGGATGTCTCTGTCTCTGTCTCTATCTCTGTCTCTGTCTCTCACTCCCCCTCTCCCTCTCAGAGAGAGAGAGAGAGTGGAAAGCACCGACCGTCTGTGTCCTTATGCACATCCATTAAGGGCGCCCAGGAGAGGAAACGTGTGTGAAGGGAAAATCTTAACTGTGTGTTTGTGGTCTATGAATTATTAAAACTCAATTCTTACAGTCTTGAATATGTGAAGGATCATAAAAATCTCACTTCTTGGAATGTGCTGTTCCCAATAATGGCACAAGTCCATTTTTTATAATGTAAACCTTTTGGGAGAGGACTGTATAAAAGAGAGGTTGAGGGGCTCGGTGCAGTCTTAAAAAAAGAGAGAAACAGGAGAATTGTTTTTTTCTATGGAGGATGTCCAGAAAGACCTGGGTTCTTGAGTAAGTAGTTACACTGTGAACAGAAACCATCCCTATAAAGTCTATTGATTTCTGTAATTACAAGGTTTGTGGCCACATTCAACTTTTATTTCTTTAGGTTCAAAATTGTTACTTTGAGGTAACATTGATGCTTTTGAGATTTGATTAACAAACTTTTTTATGAGTTAGGATTCCTTGAAGTCTGCCTTTACAAGTGTATAATGACTACATTGATGGAATTTTGTGAATGTGAAGAGTTGGTACCATATTGGTTGAAATGTACATAGTGTGGAAAGATTTGAATACAGAAAGTATGTGATTTATTTTGGGCATGATTATTTGATCTCATACAGTCATTTCGGTCAAGACTGTACTTGTCCTAGTGTTTACAATAATTAGAGGTCCCAACCCTTACAGCCTATTGATTCTTTAAAAGCTTGGCATCATTTAGTTTTGGAAAATACCATCCCTATTATTCCATTGTGGTATTTTGTCATATCACAAGAAAAACAATTTTTAAAGCACTTCTTTACTTACACTCCTGAAGTTTCTGTCATCTATTTTTTCCGTTCAAAACTCAAAATTTTTGTAGATAGGTAACTAGTAACTTTCCTTTCCTTAGAGCATTTTTGTTGAAAATATGTAGATACGTTTCAGATTGATTCATACAAAGCTGTGTAGTTGAGCAGTAAAGCAGTCTGTATTTGCCCATAAGTTTTAGAAAAGGTTTTTTAATTGAGGGTTATTATATACCTTGAACTTGTAAGCCTCTTAGGAAAGTTTTTTTTTTTTTTATGTGAATAACAATACACTTTACTCCAAAACTTCAAGTTTTTGTTTTGGCAATTTTAGTCCACTTACAGTGTCTAAAAAAAGAACGCCTGTATTGTTAGGTGTATAGGAGTTGAAGAAGTCACTAAAGTCTCAGCTTCCTCAGCTTTCAGGGTTATTTTAAAGATTAGGAAAAAAAATACATGTAAAGACCCATGTCAGTGCCTGGAAAATAATGGTTAGTGTCATTATTACTTCAATCTCCAATTGGCTCTTTGGAAAACAGAGTTAAACTCTAGGATTTCAATTTTAGATTCACTTAATTCTTACATTATTAGATGAATGTAGTGTATACAGTGTTATGTTCAGGGTTTCAGTTATGTGGCATCTAGTATAATGAATTTTTTGTAGTTTCTTCTTTTTTTTTTTTTACCTTCTGTCACTTGGGTACTTTATGGCCAATAAAAGATTTATTAGGTTAACTTGGTATAGAACCTCATATTGCAGGTAATCGTGTTTAGAATTTAGCAAATGGTAGACAAACCTGTCATGGTCAGGAGTACAGATCTGGCCGTAGAGATCTACCACTGTTGAGGGAGGGCAGGAGGAGGTGATGGCATAGGTTGGCCAGATCCCCAAAAGTTTTTCCTTACCCTGTCCAGACTGACTTCTACCTCCTGAGAACCTTTTCTAATACTTCTAGCCCTCCGTGGATCATAGTATTTGGAATTCTGTTACTTTTAATTCTAGCACATGATCGATTGCCCTGTGGTCTGCTAGAAACTCTAGAGGAGCCAAAAAAAAAAAAAAGACAGCCACCCCAGAAATTTGTTAGAGGAAAAGACTGTATTGTCTTCCTTCTACTTGAATTCTTTCAGTTGCCCAGCACTGTAACTTTTTAAGTATTTTGCCTGAAAATCCAACTGAAGGGGAATAGTTAAATCCATGGTGCATCTCGCTGTATTATGCAGCCATTGTAAGGCCAGCACTCACGAGTTTCCCATTTATCAAATATTTATTGGAGAGAGGAGTTTCTTAGGTCTTGGCCACATGGCTCTGGCACTGCAGGATAATGCAGTGATCGGCGAAGCAGATGTGACTCTGCCTAGACATGTGCTAAGCAAATAGTTGCATGAATAACATAACTACAACCTTTGGCTCACCTCCTGCCCCAGTGCTGTGAAAGAAAAGTGTAGGATGCTAGTTAGGATATAATAGTACCTAATTTTTATTGGGGTTAGGGAGGCCTTTTTTTGGAGAATTGAACCTAAAATCTGAATAATTGATAGGGCAAAACAGTGTTCCAGGCCAGAGGAACAGCGTATGTAGAGGTAGTGAGCTGAGAGAGAGGTGTATGCAACAAACTACATGGAGGTCAGAATCAGACTTTGTTATAAATGTAGTGGGAAGTTCCCAATTTGTGTAACACAGCAACATGATGTCTTTGGTTTTACCATCTCTTGACTGCTGGGTGTAGAGTGGACTGCAGTGGCAAGAAATGGAAGCAGGGAGATCCAAGCTACTATTGCGGCCTGGGTTATGGAGAATAACGGCCCCTGGCAGAATATATTGGATGTCAGTGGACGGGATGTGGGAGTGAAAGAGAAGTTCATTCCCAGGGTTCAGACTTGAGTGACTGAATAGATGGTGGTACTGTTGTTGCCTGAGATGGGAAAGACCGGAGAAGGAATAGATTTGTGGGGGGAAAGCAAAAATTCTGTTTGAGTAGCTTGTAAGACATCTTAGTCCAGGAGTCATTGTTGAAGGAGAGAGAGGGGCAGAGTATGTTTTGTATGTATATAAAATGCATATTGCATATATAATACATATACATTATAAACATATCACATACATGTAATATGTAATGTATAGACATAAAATATGCAAAAATATATGGAAGTGTATAGTATCTAAAATTGTGGATGACATTACTTAGGGAGACTGGGTAGATAAGAGAACAGAAATAGAGTCTGGGATTGGGTCTACAAAATGTTACAGGAACTGTTATAGATTCAGGAGCCATGAGCTAAGGAAACTGAGAAGGGTCTTCTAGGCTGGTGAGAAACAGCCAGGCGAGCAGTGTCAGGGAAGCAGAGAGAATTTTAAAGAATGCAGAAACTCTTCCAAACTGATGGCCAGAATTGATTTGTTTCATTAAGTTTCTCAAAAAATAAAACTGAAGTAATTATTTCCTGTCCACAAGGAAAAAGTAGAACGTAGAGGGTAAACAAATGAGTATTTGATGGACAACTTGATTCTGAAAGGTGTAAAAGTACAGTGGTGGGTCGCCCATAGGATCTCCTGTTGGATTTAAAGCATCATTAAAGCAGTTTTAAAGGCAGCGTTACTGTGGCATAGCTGCCCTTAGCCTAGGCTCGGGAGTCCTGCTGGCGGTGTGCCATCTCATTTTATATGGCCACTCTTACAGCCTTTCTCGTTAATAATAATAAATAAAAAGGGAAGGCAAAGAGGGCAGTTATACCAACTATCTTTTATGTTGCACTGAGCTTGTTCGTGTTTTTCATCTAATTCCCAAGAAATAGGTCTTAGACACATTTTACTCATGATAAAATGGGCTCATAGGAGCTGAAGAAAGTGCTTAATGTCACTGTCATAGAAACTGGTACAGCTGGAATTCCCACCCAGGATTGTCTAACGGGAATGCCAGGACATAGTAGCCAGTCTTCCTTACCTCCTCTTATCTGTCCACCTGACCTGCTGAGATGGCAGGGGTGTTGAGGGGGACATGTTGGGGATTGCCAGCATCATTCCCCCACCCTGACATCCTGAACATGGGATGATTATGAATAGAAATGAGGAGGAATTCTGGTGATGATGTGATTATTGATTAGTACAACTGTCTCTCTCACTAGGAATTGGGCTTGTGTCACAATCATCTCCATACAGAGACTAAGTACTCAATAGATTTGTTCATTGAACATGTCAGGATGGGCAGTTCCTCCTTCTTACAATGATTTTAAGTAAAACTCTTAAACAAGTATGTTACTTGTATAGTATTTAACTTGTGCAGCCGCTTCTCTGAATGGGCTGTATTGATTCTTGGACAAGAAATTCCGCTTACTCTAGTAATCACTTCAGCACATAGCTTGCTTGAGTCCTTGACAGTCACCTGCAGGAACAAGCATGGGTCTTATCCCTGGGGTAGGGAGTAGCATAGTCCTGAGTCTGAGTAAAGGTGGGACCATGATAAAAAATCCTTGCGTGTGGCAAAGTTAAACTTGGACTATTTCACAATTTTGGTGGGGGATCCACTCTGCTAACCCCATGACAGCTGAGCTGGTTACCCATAATACTGTATGATATCCCCAACTATGCAACTGACTGTCTGGGTAGAGGGAAAGATATATTTGGGGATTTAAAATGTGGCAAAAAATCTGTACCCTGGTATCATAATTGATATCTTCTTTATATTTGTGTTAACCATTTTC